AACCATGTGGAAGCTGCCAAAGGCCTGGGGCTTGCACTGCCTGAAGCCAGGGCTGGAGCTGTACCTTGGCCCCTTTTGGTCACAGCTGGAGTGGCTGGGATGCAATGCACCAAGTTCCTAGACTGCACACAGCATGGGAACCCTGGGACTGGCCCACAAAACCACTTTTTCCAACTAGGTCTCCAGGTCTGTGATGGGAGGTGCTGCCGTGAAGACCTCTGACATCCTCTAGAGACATTTTTCCCATTGTCTTGGGGATTCGCATTTGGCTACTCGTTACCTATGCAAATTTCTGCAGCTGGCTTCAATTTTTCCTCAGAAAATGTGATTTTCTTTTCTATTGCATTGTCCGGCTGCAAAGTTTCCAAACCTTTATGCTCTGTTTCCCTTATAAAACTGAAATGCTTTTAATAGCACCCAAGTCACCTCTTGAATGCTCTGCTGCTTAGAAGTTTCTTCCACCAGATACCCTAAATCATCTCTCTCAAGTTCTAAGTTCCACAGATCTCTAGGGCAGGGGTAAAATGCCACCAGTCTCTTTGCTAAAACATAACAGGAGTCACCTCTGCCCCAGTTCCCAACATGCTCCTCATCTTCATCTGAGACTACCTCAGCTGGGACCTTATTGTTCATATCACTATCAAGCATTTTTGTCAAAAAGCTGTTCAACAAGTATCTCTGAGGTTCCAAACTTTCCCACATTTTCCTGTCTTCTTCTAAGCTCTCAAAACTGTTTCACCCTCTTTCTATTACTTAGTTCCAAAGTTGCTTCCACATTTTTGGGTATCTTTTCAGCAACACCTTAGTCCTGATACCAATTTACTGTATTAGTTCTTTCTCACACTGCTTATAAAGACATACCTGAGACCGGGCAATTTACAGAAGAAAGAGGTTTATTGAACTTACAGTTCCATATGGCTAGGGAGGCCTCACAATCATGGCAGAAGGTTAAAGACGTGTCTCAAATGTTGGCAGACAGAAGAAGAGAGCTTGTGCAGGGAAAACTCCCGTTTTTAAAACCATCAGATATCACAAGACTCATCGACTATCATGAGAGCAGTGTAGGAAAGACACCCCCCCACACACATAATTCAGTCACCTTCCACTGGGTTCCTCCCATGATATGTGAGAATTGTGGAAGTTACAATTCAAGATGAGATTTGGGTGGGGACACAGCAAACCATATCACTTCCTGTGTGTCACTTGAACATTTTTTTTTTTTTGAGACAAGTTTTGCTCTTGTCACCCAGGCTGGGGCTCAGTGGCACAATCTCAGCTCATTGCAACCTCCACCTCCTGCGTCCAAGCAATTCTCCTGCCTCACTCGCTTGAGTAGCTGGGATTACAGGTGCATGCCACCATGCCCAGCTAATTTTTTGCATTTTTAGTAGAGACGGGGTTTCACCATGTTGGCCAGGCTGATCTTGAACTACTGACCTCAGGTGATCCACCTGCCTCGGCCTCTCGAAGTGTTGGACTTACAGGCATGAGCCACCATACCTGGCCCATTTGAACATTTTTTAGAACTCCATTCTGAATTATCTGCAATGTTGATGAGTGTATCTTTTTGACTAGGTTCCTTAATGGTTGTTCTAGGTATTAATTTTATACATGCATAACTTACACAGTCCACTACTATTAACATTCCAGTTGGAGTAATTTATAAAACCTTATCTTCCTTTAGTTCTTTACCTTTCCTAGTTTATAATATAGTGGTCTTAAATATTTTTTTCTACATACTTTGAGAATCTTATTACACAACACCAAACATAATTTGGAAAACCTGAAAGAAAATATATAGTATTTACTTATATTTTTACTATTTCCATTGTTCATTCTTTCTTCCTAATTCTCTAAGACTCTTCTTTTATCATGTCCTGTTTAGAGAATCTCCTTTAAACATTCTTTTACGGTTGGTTTGCTAGTGACAGATTCTCTTAGACTTTTTCTGAGATTGTCCCCGTTTCCTCTTCATTCCAAAAAGATATTTTCACTAAATAGAGAATTCTGAATTGACAGTTATTCTTGTTTGACACTTGAAAAATATTGTGCCGTTTCCTTCTGTCCTCCATGGCGTCTAATGAGAAATTCATCATCATTCAAATTTGTTTTTCCTGTTGGTTAACCTAAATGTTGTTTTTCTCTTACTGTTTTCAAGGTATTTTCATTGTGTTCAGTTTTCAGAAGTTTATGGTGTATATGGCATGAATTTTTTTGGTTTACTCTGCTTGGGGTTTGCTCAGCTTCTTCAATCTGTAGGTTTGTGTCTTTTGCCAAATTGGGGGATTTTTTTTTCAGCCATTATTTTCTCAAATACCTTTGCAACTCCAATTATTTCTTCCATTGTCTTTTCCCTCTGTCTGGTAGTATTGTGGTTGTTATTACCAGTACTCCACCTTCCTCTCTCAACTGCAGTTCAGAACCAGATCTTGCAGTAGAGTTTAGAGTTCTTGATCTAAAATGATGTCAGATGTCACTGATTAAAAGGCCCACTTGTTGACATGGTTCTGATCCTGGTATCATGGCTATGTGTTTGTCTTCCTACTTGCTTAGGCTCGCTACTTTTTTATGAGAAGGAGGGGCAACCTTTTGTTGTTGTTGTTGTTGTTGTTGTTGTTGTTGTTGTTTAAACCTTACTGGCTTCCAGCAGTAAGGCCATCTATTTCTCTATCATGGGATGAGTACCTTCAGCCTCTGTAACGTACAGATCCAGCCCTTGACACCACATGTTCCTTCTGGACTCAGAGCCCAGGAAACCTCTGGTTTTAGTCTCACTTTACTCTTCTGTCTTCTATTTGTGGTCCATTGACATACTCATCTTACTTTTGGGTACTGCTTTGTCTTTTTAACTGTCACTGCTTCATCGCTTTATGTCTGGAGCAAAATGGTTGTGTTGAAGCATAAATTGGTTGAGAAGTTCTTGTGCATTCTTTAAAAATAAAAAATGGAGACAAGGTTTCACTATGCTGCCCAAGCTCATCTCAAACTCCTGACTTCAAGCAATCCCCCTGCCTTAGCCTCCGGATTAGTTAGACTACAGGCATGAGCCACTGCAACCAGCCCCTCTTGCATTCTTAATGCAGTTTGCTGAATGAAATCTCTAAATTATTTTGACTCTTCAATTTCTTCATTCTTTGCATCTGGTTTTGCACAGAAAGCAGTGTGATCCTAAGCCAGTTATTCACCCTCTGTAGCTGCAGTTTCTGAAATGCCTAGTGAGATGGTTGGACTAAGTTCTTTTTAGCTCTTAGAGTCTATATGTCAAGAAAGATACAAAATTATCAAGCAGAAGAAGTTATTCTTGATTCCAGACTTTAAAATCAGGATTCTCCAAATTGAAAAGGTAAAAGCAGAGATAGTATAGAATTTCAGTTTTGATGATAGCAAAGGACTTCTTGGCCATTAGAAGCAGGAAACATTTCTTGAAAAACGAAGAACCTCCTTAGAATCAATAAAATACAGTTTTACAGGAATCACAAGGTAGTAATTACAAGGAGTTTATACTCCAGTATTCCCCGTGGTAAATATACATAATTTCAGGAAAAGTTTAACCAAATATATATTAGTAATTGAAGGAAATGAATTTTGCTGATGTAGAAAACAATCTGGCTACCCATAAAATACTCCTATATGCCTATTACTAGGGATGTAGAATACAGTGAGTTGAATTTGACCTAATATAACACGTTTGGGATGATTTTAAATTATTATTTTAAAGATTTGTTTTAGAAGTGTTATACTAAAATATTTTCATCTAAAATAAAAATTACATATTATCCATTCCTTTGAAAGATGTAAATTTTGGCCATAACATTATAGAATTTGAATTCTTCATTCCATAAAGTTTTTGCTCCCTTTGTGTTTCATTGTTTTATGTAAACTGTAGGATGAACTTCTTGCATAGAGCATTTTATGAGATTGAATTTCAAAAAGAAGATAATTTATGGGCCTAGAGATAGAGGAAAAAAAAAATAGCTGTATCTGAGCTGTTAGCATCGTCTGTCTTAGTGACAGAGTAATGGACTGCATATGTAATGTTTGTATGGGTCACATCTTTTTTATTTTATTTTTTATTTCTTGAGACTGAGTCTTGCTTTGTCACCTAGTCTGGAATGCAGTGTTGTGATACCGGCTCACTGCAACCTCCGCTTCCCAGGTTCCAGTGATTCTCCTGCCTCAGCCTCTCGAATAGCTGGAATTACAGATGCATACCACCACACCCAGCTAATTTTTGTATTTTTAGTAGAGACAGGGTTTTGCCATGTTGGCCATGCTGGTCTCAAACTCCCAACTTCAAGTGATCCACCTGCCTCAGCCTGTCAAATTGCTGGGATTACAGGCATGAGCTACTGTGCTAAACCAGGTCACATCTTTTAAAAGGCCATTTTTTTTTTTTTTTTTTTTTTTTTGCTGGGCACAGTGGCTCATGCTTGTAATCCCAGCACTTTGAAAGGCCAAGGTGAGCAGGTCACCTGAGGTCAGGAGTTCAAGACCAGCCTAGCCAACATGGTGAAACCCCGTCTTTTCTAAAAATACAAAAATTAGCTGTGTGTGGTGGCAGGTGCCTGTAATTCCAGCTACCTGGGAGGCTGAGGCAGGAGAATCGCTTGAACTTGGGAGGCAGAGGTTGCAGTGAGCTGAGGTTGTGCTACTGCACTCCAGCCTGGGTGACAGAGTGAGACTCTTAACTCAGAAAAAACAAATTTAAAAAGGCCATTTTTACCTAAAATTTTAGTTACTTTCCTAGTAAACCTATCTCCGATATTAAGGAATTCACTTAATATAATTTGTTACTGCATAAGGGTCTAACTCTGAATTCATTATGTCATACCTGATATAAAAAGAAAAAACATTACAGAATTTCATGAAGTAAAACATGAAAGTACCCTTTTCCCCATCTTCCTCACTCAGTATAGCCACTGTTAACTCTTTGGGGCAGGAAAGTGGTAATGTTTCAAAGAGTTTTTTACATGATTTCAAAAGGTAAAATCTCATTTCAGGTTCTGAGCAACATTCATACAGTCAGAGCCACATGGCAATCTAAAAAGCCCAAAACATGGACCTTTTCTCCCCAGGTAAGTAATCTGCTGAATGAGTGGAATGAGTGAATTTCTTTTACCTATTAAATGTTAAGCAATTAATGTTTAATATAAGACTGTCAAAGTTGAACATATTTATATTTATATAAATAGCACAGAGTATGTGGGGACAGATATAAATCTAAAGATTTATGTCTTTGGTGTTATTTGAGGACATTGATAAAAATTACTCATGTCTCTGACTCACCAGTGTTATAATTCCTGTGAATCATCCCATTCAGCAAATTTCAGGGTTCATTTTTAGAAAATTCTTATTTGATAAAAATGAAAACATAAAGATTACATTTAGGAAGTGAGGTGTTTTTCAAAGATGAAATCTTCCAACTATGCTAATAAAAACTGTACTTTCTTCAGATAAAGTCAGGGGTGACGCCTAGGGGACTGCTACATTACACCCACATACTGTCAAGACTGGAATAGGGTTTTGAGGGTTCAAACCACTGAGTCAGCATTGCATAGATGCTAGAGAGGACAAAGGTATCTTCATATTGTTTTTATAATATCAATTATGTATATTTTATTTTATGTTACTTTCGTCTACCTCCAAGGTCTCATTACTTTAGTATTTGCTTCCCTCCTACAGCTAACTCCCTTATATAACTGCATCCTAAAAACCCTTAATTACCTTTCCTCTTACTGTATCAGAAGATCTTAAGGCAAGATGGAGGTTCAATGAGAGGGCTCAGGCTGTGGATGAAGCCAGCCACCTCAATCATGTGCTGTGTCTGTCCACACTTGACGAGAGTACACCTCCTAAAATTCCAGCTTGATCTTCTTAGCAGCCTTCCTCCAGTGAGAGGCACAACTTCTCTTTTGGCACAGTACTTCACAGTTCGGTATTGCGACTCTGTGTATGTGAAGTGTTTAGGGTGGAATTTTTTAATGTTTTTCCTGGGGTAGAAAGATAAACTTTTGGGAGTATGTGTTATTCTGCTGAATGAAAGTAGACATCTGTTACATACAAGCATTTTTTTCTAGGCATGTGGAAACTTTTTCATGCCAGGGGAGTTCCTATTCCAGCAAAGTTAGTAGGGGAAAATACATACATAAAGAATAACAATATTGTCTATTTATGGAACCCCAATTGTGTGCTAGGCCCTGTGCCAGGCTCTTATGTACGTTATCATACTTAATCAGAGTAGCGCTGTGGGGCGAGTACTGTTGTTAACTACCCCTCAGGCAGATTGTAATGGCTTTGGCACTCTAAGTGCTTTGGAAGCACATAGGAAGGTAAAGTGAATTCTAGTCCTTTGGCTCAGGGAAGGTTTTATAAAAGAGAAACTAGACCTTGAAGGATGGGTAGATTTTACAAGCAAGAAAGGAGGGGTATGGTTGTCTAGGGAGAGGGAATTGAATGAGCAAAAAGGAAGATTTATCAGGAATGTTGAGCAAATACGTGTATTAAGTCTTTAATTTTTGTTCCGTTTACAAAGAACAGTGGTTAATATAAATATCTTATAATGCATATAAACTATTATTTGTAACACCTCTGGAGACCTAGGTACAGTACTTGTTTCATGTTAGCCTCTAAGCAAGAATAAGTGAAGGTAAAAGTATTTTCCCTTTAAAAGAGAAATTAAATTTTTAAAATTTATAGTCATTGGCATAGATTAATTCAGTCCATTTTCTTTGTGTTTTTCTTAAAAGGCCTTTATTATAATGCAAACGCATAAACTATTTACTAACAAATAGGGCTGAAACCCTGTTCTTGTGATAAAGAAATACCTGAGATGGTATCTGTTCTTGCGATAAAGAAATTCCTGAGACTGGTTAATTTATAAAGAAAGGAAGTTTAATTGGCTCATGGTTCTGCAGACTGAACAGGAAACATTACACAGGCATCTGATCAGTTTCTAGGAAGGCCTCAGGAGACTTCTAATCATGGCAGAAGGTGAAGGGGGAGCAGGCATCTCACATGGCAGAGCAGGAGCAAGAAGGAGAAAGGAGGTGCCACACACTTACTATTTTTTTTTGAAGCAGAGTCTTACTCTGTTGCCCAGGCTGGAGTGCAGTGGCATGATATCAGCTCACTGTGACCTCCACCTCCTGGGTTCAAGCGATTCTCCTGCCTCAGCCTCCCAAGTAGCTGGGATTACAGGTGCCCACCATTGTGCCCTGCTAATTTTTTTTTTAGTAGAGATAGGGTTTCACCATGTTGTCCACGCTGGTCTCGAACTCCTCACCTCAAGTGATCTGCCCGCCTCGGCCTCCCAAAGTGTGGGGATTACAAGTGTGAGCCACTGTGCCTGGCCACATTTTCGAAAAAAACTGATCTCCTGAGAACGAACTCACTATGGTGAGGACAGCACCAAACTATGAGGGATCTGCCCCCATGACCCAGACAGCTCCCACCAGGCCTCAACCTCAACACTGGGGATTATAATTCAACTTGAAATTTGATGGGGACATTTATTCAAACCATAGGAAACCCCTTTCCCGTTTTTTATTTTTATCAATAACTTTAATTTCTTTATTATTTCAGGTTACTCGCATCTTGCCATGTTTGCTTGATGGTGATTGCTTTATCAGGTCCAATTCTGTGTCTCCAGATCTTGGAATATTATTTGAACTTGGAATTTCTTATATTCGCAATGTATGTCCATTAAGGCTTTCTAATGTATCAGTTAAAAGGGAAGGTTAAAAAATATGTCTATTGACAAGTAAATTCTTGAGGTCTTTAGGTGTAATAGAATTATAATCCCTTGAGGAATGAGAATGCCAGTGATTCTAATTTTGTGTGTGCTGATTTTTTTCATAGCATTTACAATAAAAGAATATTTATTCACATTTATAGCTTGAGTGAACTCCAGTGATTTTGAAGAATAAAAATTCGAAAAGGATGGGACTTTGCAGAAAGTGATAAAAGATGCTTACTGGCATCCCAGCATCATGGTTCACCTCTGGCCTCCAGGGGAAAAATATACTTAGCCTTGTAACTGGGGGTTCTAATTAAGGTACTTGGCAGAGTCGTGATTTTTATAAAGCAAACACCAGAAATTTCAGTTAACTTATGTCATAGAAACGATTGAACCAGTGGGTGGGGCTCTGTGCTACTAATTAAATGTTTCCGCATACTGATAATAGCTTGAGAGGTGTAGTATATATACTTGACCTCATGGTAACCCTGAGAGCCTTCCAGAGATGTTACATTAATGGTATTACAATGTCCATTCATTTGTTTAAAGCAAATTTATCCATAGTATTGTGGATGGGATCGGACTGGGGAAAGGAGCAGGACCCCAAGCAAGCCTTGGGGGCCTCTAGCAATTGACATGGGGGTAAAATTCTAAGCAGAAAGCCCCGTAAATTATTAATATCTGCATTATGTCTGTCAGTGAAATTAAGGTTCATAATCCTATGTAGTATTGATGTGATTTGCTATCACTCCACAGAATGCTTACATCAGTCAAGAGACAATGGTAACAGTTGCCACACCATTGGTTTAAGGGATTTTCTAGAACAATTTTGAGAAAATATGATTGCCTCTTGATATACTACCTTTAATATCTGACCTGCAGGCAAAATGGAACTCTACTATGTTTCATTTTATTTTCTTGTGAAGAACTTTTTAGTTCTAAAGGCGAATACTAATTTTGTTCCTTTAAAAATACTTGGTATGTGCTTATAAATTTGACTAATTCAGACATTAAGTTTCGTATACTTATCTTATTTCCTAGTCAACTGGTGAAAGAGGAGAGTTAAGTTGTGGCTGGGTATTTCTTAAACTTTTTGATGCCAGTGGAGTTCCTATTCCAGCAAAGTAAGTTGGCTATACATTCCTAACTAATGAATACTTCTGTAGAAATTCATTTTTTAGACTCTAGATACCTCAAGTTTGTTTTGTGAGCATGCCAATAACTTTTGGTAAGGCTTTTTATGTTGATTTTAGTGTTGTTTAGCATGCACATTCTCATCCTAAGGAGGAAGAAATGACCACTAGAGAAGAGGTATTTTAAAAGATGTTTGCACTAGCTGTCTGCTGAGAGTATTCTTTCAGTAATTTCCTGTGGTTTTAACACATTTCACCATGCTGAAAACAGAGTCTAGTTGTCTTCAAAGAGTGGGAAACCTAAGTCCAGAGTCTTAAGGTCCTCTGTGAGTCTCTACCCTCCTTCTGTAGGTGGGACTTTGAAATCATAGTGGCAACCATGGTAAAAGATTTAAACTTTAAGATCAAAAGGCAGACTGGAAGTAAATATTGCAATATATATAGAAGAGTTAGAAGATCATTATCCCTAATATAAAAGGAGCTCTCAAAAATTAATAAGAAAAATGTAATTCAAATTTTAACATGGAGGAAAGAAAGATCTAAATTTAGGTTATAAATAAGAAATTCAAGAAGGGACACAAATAGGCAGGCAGTAGGATGGTGATTAAGATCCCAAATTTGGATTATAAAACTCTGGGCTCCAGTCCCAGCTCTACCCATGTAATTGTAGGTAGATTTCTTAACATCTCCATGTCTGAATTTCACCTATTTTTGTTCTGGAGGATTGTAATAATTCTTACTCCAAAGGCTTGTAAGGATTAATTTAGATAATGCTCCTTTCATGGCCTCCTTGCCACTGGGCAGACATAGAAGTCCTGAGTCTACAAGTCCTTTGATATCATTCCAGTGGTGGGGAGGGGACACTGCATTACCCTGGGTGCCAGGTTTCTTGTGATTGTTTTTTCCTTTTTTGTTTTTGTCTTTTAATATGCTCAGGGTTTTTAGTTGTGCTTAGTGGAAGAAATAAGGAATAGTATATCTATTCCATCTTCCTGAAAGTGAAGTCACAGCTATTTTTTTAAATGAGGTAGAACTCTGTGTATTAATACAAACACATTTTCTGTGTATTAGTATATGGAAAAAGTTACAGAATATTTTGAATACTATGACACCACTTTTGTTCATTAAAAGCTATTTGTGGGCCAGGTGAGGTGGCTCACAATTCCTGTAATTTTAGCACTTTGGGAGGCCTTGGTGGGAAGATCACTTGAGCCCAGGAGTTTAAGACCAGCCTGGGCAACATGGTGAGATGCCATCTCTACAAAAAAAAAAAAAAATTAGCCAAGCATGATGGCACATGCCTGTAATCCCAGCTACTCCAGAGGCTGAGCTGGGAGGATTGGTTGAATCCTAGAGGTCGAAGCTGCAGTGAGCAGTTTTCATGCCATTTCACTCTAGCCTGGGTGACAGAGTGAGACCCTGTCTCAAAAAAGGAAAAACAAACAAAGCAAAACTATTTATTAGCCTCTATGTGTGGGTCTAGGTAATCTGTTCCCAGAAGTTGCCTCTGAGGAACAGAATTGAGGTGGTGCAGTGCAATTAAAGGGCTCTTTTACCTTCTTCTTTCTACACTTGGTATGTGACTTCAGAAGAAAAGCATGTAGTATGTTAGTTTTGAAGCATGTGTTAGTTTTGAAATTCACCATGTTTATATATTTGTTTGCATTTGCATAGAAAAGATAGGGCAGGAGATTAATCAAACTAGAGAAGAAGGCATGGGGAGGAATTTTTCACTTTTTACTTATCATTTCTCTGCCATTCAAACTTTTTATAACAATCTACATTTATATTTTAAAAATAATATAAGTTCCTAATGTCGTATTTCAAATAATGATTCAACATATTTGAAAAATACATTAAAAAACAATCACTTGTCATTAACATAAGTCATTAAAGTCTCAACACTTTAATGACGAATTAATTTTTCTCATTTTTAAGGAAAAATGTATTTTCTACAGGGTACAGTTAGGAAAGATAATTTTTCTCATTGTATTTTCTGCAGCTTATAATTAGGAAAGAAAGACTGTTTATTTGCCCAGGTGGTACCTCACGGAGGGTTCAACAATTACTATTTTCACTTACCAATGAGCCATAAATGAAATGTCTATGAGTGTATTTGTGCTAAAGAATATTTAACTACTGATTCCAGTGTTTTCTAAATGGCCACAGCATGTATCTCTCTTCGAATGTTATTCTTTTATAGAACTTATGAGCTCTTCTTGAATGGTGGTACTCCTTATGAAAAAGGTGTTGATGTGGACCCTTCAGTATCCAGAAGAGGTACGCTTTCCGTGTGTTGTCTTCCTTTCCTTAAAGATTAAACAAATAGTCCAGGCGCGGTGGCTCACGCCTGTAATCCCAGCACTTTGGGAGGCTGAGGCGGAGAATCAGGAGGTCAGGGGTTCAAGACCAGCCTGACCAATACAGTGAAAGTCCATCTCCACTGAAAATACAAAAATTAGCTGGGCGTGGTGGTGTGTGCCTGTAGTCCCAGCTACTCAGGAGGCTGAGGCAGGAGAATCACTTGAGCCCGTGAGGCAGAGGTTACAGTGAGCCAAGATTGCCCCACTGTACTCCAGCCTGGGTGACAGGGCAAGACTCCATCTCAAAAAAGAAAGAAAAAAAAGATTAAACAAATAGAAGATGCAACTGAGAGGCAGCTACACTCTAATAAGCATAGCGTTTTTCACTTGGATTCACACTTTTGAAAATCTGTCATTTGATAGTAAAATTTTAATCATTTTTAAGTACTTATTTTCTTGGTAACACATATGAGACTCTAATGTAAGAAATCATGAAGCATGAGGACCCTGCATTAGTTCCTTTTCACTGACCACTGAACTGATACTTGTGACTGGTACTAAAGCAGAAACCGCAGCGAGAAACAGACCTCTCAGACACTGAGCTAGGAAGGAAGGGATGATTTATTTTGGCCGGCAGCAAAGCGGCATAGCTGCCTAATAGCCAAGCTGGTCTAACAAAGAAAAATCTCTGTCCTTATAAAGGCTCCCAACTCTAGAAATTATGCGTGAAAGGGTCTTGTGTTTACAGCTTTAGAAATTACATGTGAATGGGTCTTGTGTTTACAGCTTTAGAAATTACATGTGAAAGGGCCTTGGTTCATGGAATAGGCGTGGGGTATGTGGCTTATGTGGGGGTTTGATCTTGTTTAGGTAAAAACAATGCCTTCCAGAAAGATTCCTCCATACCATGCCTGCCATCTATAGGAGAGATTGTGGTAATCAGTAGGAGTCTTATTTTTACCCTGGCTGGCAGCACCAACCAGTCCCCCTTCTGGCTGACTTCTAGCTTCTCCTTTTGAGATGCAATGCAGAAGGCTGAAGAGCATTAAGGGTCTCCTTCCTCAGTACAGAAGTAGTAGAATAGGCTAATACAGAGGGTGCCTATTGCTAGGTCAAAGGATGCAGACGTTTGAAACAGTAATGTGCATGCCAAATTCCCCTCTAGAAATACTAAGCGTCTTTTACTATGTTCATTAACCAGGCACTGTGCTAGAAAACAGGAGAATGAAGAGCAGGACAGATACAGTGATTGCCTTATGGGGCTCACAGCCTGACAGATTTGGAATTCTATTTCCACTCCTCAGCCACCCCATTTGTTTGGTGATTCTGGACACACACCACCTCTGCTGCCCCACAATGCCAGTCCTCCCTTCTTGGAACAGAAAGGAGTTCAGGGTGTGGGATGCAGTTGGTTCTATCTGGAGTCAGACATGCTGTTTTCCTTTGTAATCTAGCAGCAATAATGCTGTAACTCATAAGATTTAGCAAACAATCCTGTGCCCTTAGGGAGGTTGGTCAGCTCATTTAGGGTATGTGGGTGACTCTTGCCTTTCATTTAATTCAGTACTACTGGTTGGTATATTTTCATGAAATATTTGTTTTATTATACTCATTGTCTCATTTAAAGTTTTGTGACTTAGTTTTGATTTTTCTTAAAAGCACACGGCAGTGTTTTCTACCAGATGATGACAATGAGAAGGCAGCCGCAACTTCTAGTCAAACTGAGGTCTTTGAACAGAAGATCAAGAAATGTACTAAGGTTGGTACCTGCTTCTACCTGTCCAGTGAACTTGGGATCACTCAGCATGTGGAGCCCATCTCTGCTTTTGGCTTCTCCTCTTATTTGGTCATCTTTTGTTATAATATTTTTGTTCTCTTTAATTCTTCTGCCAAAGGACGGTAGGGAAATGGGTAGTAAAGCTGAAATTAGCTTACTCTTCTATTTACTAGTTAGCTCTTCTAACCAAATCTGTCATTTGAGCTAACTGGTAAATAGAAGACTTGATTAAATGGGGCTTACCAATGCATGATTCTACCCTCAGGGAACTTTTTTTTTAATATCAAGTTTATTGAGATATAATTTACATGCAGTAAAATGTACTCTTTTTAGTTTATAGTTACTTGCATTTTGACAAATGTATACCGTCATGTGATTACCACTACAATCAAGAAAAAGAGTATTTCCCTCACTTTAAAAAGTTATCTCATGTCCCTTTGTAGTCAGCTCCCTAGCCCCATCCTCAGGCAGTCACACCTGTTTTTCCTTCCCAGCAGTTTTGCTTTGTCCAGAATGTCATCCAAATGGAATCATAACAGTAGGGAGCCTTTTGAGTCTGGCTTCTTTCATTTAGTATAGTACAGTTGAGACTTACCCATGCCATTGCTTGTGTCAGTAGTTTGTTCCTTTTTGTTCTGAATAATACAAACAGTCCGTGACTTACTCAAGATTTTTCAATTTTACCGTGTTGCAAAAGCAAAACCCATTTGGTAGACAGTATACTTCAGTACAGATTCAATAAATTACATGAGATATTTATACTTTATTACAAAATAGGCTTTGTATATGATTTTGCTCATCTGTAGGTTAACGTGTTATGAGTATGTTTAAGGTAGGCTGGCCTAAGCTGTGATGTTCAATAGGCTAGTTGTAGGCAAGACGTAGTGGCTCACACCTATAATTGCAGCACTTTGGGAGGCCAAGGTGGTAGAATCCCTTTAGGCCAGGAGTTCAAGACCAGCCTGGACAACATGGCAAGACCCCATTTCTACCTCCCCCGAAAAAATTAGCTGGATGTGGTGACACACACCTGTAGTCCCAGCTACTTAGGAGGTTTAGGTAGGAGGATTGCTTGAGCCCAAGAGGTTGAGACTGCGGTGAGCCATGCTGACATCGTTGAACTCCAGCCTGGGTAACAGAGTCAGACCCTGACTCAAAAAAAAAAAGAAAAAGAAAGGCTAGGTATATTAAACGCATTTTCAACTTACGATATTTTCCGTTTATGATGGGTTTCTGGGGACATAACCCACCATAAGTTGAGGAGTAGCTGAATTCCTTTTGATAGATATACTACAATGTGTTTATTCATTTACAAATTGATGGGCATTTGGGTTGTTTCTAGGTTTGGGAAATTAAAAATAAAGCTACTTTAAACATTTGCATACAAATTTTCTGCATGTGGATATATGTCTTTATCTCTCATGTGTATAAATACCTAGGAGTGAGATTGCTGGGTCATATGGAGTTTATAAGAAACTACCAAACTGTTTCCAAAATGACTGTAACACTTTGCACTCTCATTAATGATGTATGAGAGTTCCAATTACTCCATATTGTTGATAGCACTTGATATGATCAGTTTTTCTGTTTTGTCCCTTCTAGTAAATAAGAGTAGTGGTTTGTCATGGTGTTTTAAATTTACATTTTCCTCAGGGAGCTTATACACCAATCAAATCTCAAATCTATCATTTTTTCCCTCAGTACCCTCTTAGACAGGCCATTTGACATCTCTGTCAGGGTCGTAATGTCTGCATATTTAAAATGGACATCATAATAAAAATATCAACCCCATAAAGCTGTAATGAGGTTTAATGGAAGGAAAACATATAAAACACTTAGCCAGTGTTTATATTGTATGCCACATAGTAACTAGCACAATAGTGTTAGCTATAATTATTTACTACTATAATCTTCTTATATATAGATAAATGTAAATATAAAGCCAAGTAGATGGTGCCATATCATAAAATTTCTTCAAATGAAGATGTGTAGTTGAAAATGAAGATTTGAAGTTGCCTTTGAAGGATTGGGTAGATACGGAGGAAAGGAGCTCCACAGAGGGCACAAGAGGACAGTAGGTGGGCGGAAGAGCATGGCATGGGACAGAGACTGTGGCAGCTGAACTCTCCCACCATGACCTGCTCATTGCTCACAGATTATTAAGAAGTAAGGAAGTAAAGGAAGACTTAGCATACCCCTCTGAATGGTTTTTCTCATTCCAGATCATAGTCTTAGCTTAAATATCCCTTGTTCTTATCTCTACTACTGAAATTTATTTTATAATTATAGTGTTAACAGTTCAGTCTTTCAATAGCCATTAATAATGTGTTCATGGGTATTATTTATTCTGTTAGCTTTTTCTTCCTTGGATGTTCATAGAGCCTGTAAATTCTCTTTTTTGGCCAGTCTTTCCTTGGAAAATTATTTGTTCAAGGTAAGAAAGAAAGCAGCACAGTAGTAGTCTTTGTGAAAGAAAAGCCAAATCCTGTTTGGCCTCATTCTTCCTGCGTCTTTGGCCTCCCCACTACTCCTGGTGATAAGCCTCCAAGAGTCCCGAAGCACTCCCATGCATGTCTTTCAAGTACAGCCCTTCATAATGTTTCTTTGGCTTCCAAATACTGGTTTTCAGATATTTTGTATGATCTCAAGATGAAATTGGACCATGTGGTACAGAGGTTAGCAAGGCAGCCTCTTCTCCTTAAGCAGTGAATATTAATCTATATGCTGAGTTCTTAAAAGTCCTGTGTCCTTGTCCTCCATACCTCAGGACTGAGGCATTCGTTTCATTACAGCACACAGTAGGCACCCAAAAAACGTTTGTGAAATAATTTCAAAGCAAAACTGTCCCTGCTAGTGTAAAAGTATACTCCTCAGGGCCTCTGCACAGCCTCCACCTGTCCCTGGCTTCCCTCTGCCTTGTCTTGGTGTGTGCTCTTCCAGAGACTTGAGTGCTGGCTTGAAATTGCCTCTCCATTTTGCATGACCCCAAACCATAAACTCCGGGGAATCTCAAATCTGAGTTGGGACACACTGCTCTTGCAACTCCAGACACAGGCTGGCTTGAACAGAAACCAGGTCATGGACAGTGAAACCAGAGGCCCTGGGCCTTGCAGGAGGGCTGGCGGCCATAGTGGGAGGGCTGTGCTGTGGGTTCAAGGTAAGAGGCTAGGCACCAGCCTGGGCCCTTTTGGACATCACTCTCTGAGCCTCTGCACCCTGGAGGTGCAGACTGACACAGGACTGATCCATTTCAGCATCCTCTCCTCCCTTGACCTGCCACCTTCAGTGGGTGGGAAAACAAGACAGCTAATGACACCAACAGTCCTTCTTCCCTTCAAAGGCACACCCCGCTTCTATCCTCATCCTTGCTTCTTTACAAACTTCACCTTTGTTTATGCAAAACCAAAAAGTTTACAAACTTCATCTTTGTTTATGCAAACCTCACCATTGTTTATGCCATAAGACATAAGATGATATACACAAGGCCAAGGCCAGAAAGCCTAGTTAAAATTTGTATTTGTGCCCATTTTTACCCAGTGCCCTTGCTGGTTGGCTCTATATTGCCCTCTAATGCAGCCTGCAGTGCTACACATGTGTATCCTTTGGATATCAGGAATCCTGTGAAAATATGAATTATTTGGTGCAGACCAATGGCACCAGAGTCCTGCTCATAGGACTTGGCAGTCTTGTTTTGTGGAGTTGGTTATGATCATGGTGACCTTGTCGACATAAGAAAGAGAGCAAATAGATACTTCAGTTTCACCAAGATTTGTCTTTTAGAGCTGTTTTCCAAAGGGGTTTAACTTGATGTGATTTGACCAAAAGCATGTGTGTAATCCCCTGAGAAGGGAAAGTCCTGAATGTGACTTCAGATTCCCAGTGCATGAGTTCTGAATATGAAGAAACCCTGGTCTGTAGAAGTAAGTTGCATATGTTTCTGTGTGTGTATGTGTGTGTATGCGTCTGTGTGTGTAAATTTGCTATAAATTCAATATCCTTTGCTTTTTTGATGCATTCCATCTTCTTTTCTCTTTTACTTTTATTATATTGTTGCTAAAATAAATAAGGTAATAACGTTAGTTGCTTGAGGCCCATTCATTGTGTTCATTGCACTCTGCCACCAGAGTTTGTTGGTCTACATGTGAATTCATTTTTACTGAAGTATATTTTTACTTACTTAACTCAGCTAACCTTCAGCAGCCCAGAACTTTCTGTTCATCTTGAGTTTGGGAAAATCAGATGTTTTCTCTAAAAAAAAATAATAATAAAGGCCAAGCAGCTTTGCTTCATGTTGTGGGAAGGTGCCAGAAGGAAAGGAGTGCCCACACAGGGTTGAACAATGCCTGCCAGGCAGAGCAAGCAGGTCTATGAGAAAAGGAGAGGGCTGAACAGAAGAAAGGAAGTCCCTACCCCTTTCCTTGGCAAAATCGATGGCTGTTCTTCATCATGAGCCCTGAATTTGGACATGCTGCTGAAACACTGCACAATGGGAACATGGACCAATGGGCAGAACATGAACATGTTGTTCATGAGCTAAGGTTCTGTCCCCTGCTCATGAATATATCCATGGTCCCAGAACAACCTGATCCCTGATCCCAGGAGTCACAGCCCGATCCCTGAGAAAGCATATGTTGGCATTGAGGCAGCTGAAATGGTCCCCTGCATCCAGTCTTTAAATGTAGGTCAAATGTGTACAAGATCAGAATGTAGCCAGGTTGGAAAAAGACAATTTGAAAAAGACAGTTTCTGACTTTGTGTATCAAATGCTGTATATCAATATAACTGTGCTAAGAGAACCTGTATTGTATTTTTGGATGTTTCTAGAAATTCAGGGTTTAAAGAGTGGTCAAGGATACTTATTTAATGCCATGAAACTAATTACCCATGGAATCCGTTGCTTTTACCTCATCACAGTGGTCACATTCATTCTGTTCTCTTCCAACAGGCTGGAAGCCTGAATATTACTTCTGTGATAATTTCCCCTTTTAAAAATCTCATCTTAGAAATTAAGATACAGTATTAACTTACATATAGTAAGTTCTCTTTTTAAATCTTTGGTGGTTTTTCTCAGCCAAAAGACATCTTCCTTTTTGATAGAAGACAACATATCATTTGTAAGGTTTTTTGAGATCTTCTGTATGGTCTTTCTTCATGCTTTATGACAGAGTTTATATATTTCTAAAAATAGTATTTAGAAAATATTTATTTAGAACGATCTAAGATATTTTCTTGAGTACTTTGAAGGGTTAAATCTTGTGTCTAATATATTCCCAGTAAGTATTTACTATGTGTCATGTGTGAGAGTCTTAAAGAGCTCACTTTTCATGTTTCCAGATTATTATTTTGAAATCTGAATATTCAAATTTTTTCTATTTTTAAATTTCTGACTTTTTTGATGTTATTGTAAATTGTTTTCTTAGTTTCCTTTTCAAATTGTTTATTGTTAGTGTATAGAAATGCAATGATTTTTGCATGTTGATTTTGTATTCTGAAACTTCGGTAACGTCATTTATTCTGAAAGTCTTTTTCATGGAATATTTCATGGAATCTTTTTCTATACATATTCTACATATTCCTACATCATTTTGTCTGTGAACAGAGATATTTCCTCTTTTTTAGAAAAATATTTCCATTACTATGTTGAGTAAAAGCAGCAGGAGCAGGATCTTTGTCTTGTTCCTTATATTAGAGGAAAAACTTTCAGTGTTTCACCACTGAGTATGTGATGTTAGCTGTGGGCTTTTCATATATGGCCTTTATTATGTTGAAGTAGTTCCTTTCTATTCCTAGTTTGTTGAGTGTTTTTATCATGAAAGGATGTTGAATTTTGTGATTTTTCAGCATCAATTGAGAAAATAATGTGTTTTCTGTTAATGTAGCACATTATGTTGTTTGATTTTTGGATGTTGAGTCATCCTTGTGTTCCACAAATAAATTTGACTTGGTCATGGTATATAAGCTTTTTAATGTGCTGTTGAATTCACTTTGCTAGCATTTTGTTGAGGATTTTGCATCAATATTCAGGGATATTGGGCTTTAGCTTTTTTTTTTTTCCTCTTATAGTCTTATTGGCTTTGGTATCAGGGTAATTTTGACCTTATAATGAGTTTGATAGTGTTTTCTTCTCTTCAATTTTTTGGAATCATTTGAGGAAAATTGGTGTTCATTTTTCTTTAAATGTTTGTTAGAATTCGCTAATGAAGCCATCTGATGCCGGGCTTTTCTTTATCAGGAGATTTTTTTGATTACTCATTCAATCTCCTTACTTGTTATTGAGATTTTCTATTTCTTTGTGATTCAGCCTTAATAGGTTTTGTGTTTCTAGAAATTTGGCTATTTCATTTATGCTATCTAACTTGTTAGCATAGAACTATTTATAGTACTCTTACACATGTTTTATTTCTATAAAATCAGTAGTAGTATCCCCTCTTTCATTTCTGATTTTAGTTGAGTCTTTCTTCCTTAGTCATTCTCACTGAAGGTTTGTCAATTTTGTTCATCTTTTTGAAGAACAGACTCTTGCTTTCATTGATTTTCTCTATTGTTTTCTGTTTTTTATTTTGTCCCTCTCTAATCTTTATTATTTTTTTCCTTCTGCTAGTTTTGTTCTTCTTTTCTAGTTCCTTAGGGTATAAAGTTGGGTTGTTGACTTGAGCTCTTCTTTTTTAATGAAGTATTTATAGCTATAAATTTCCCTCCTAGGACTGTTTTCACTGTATCTTACAAGTTTTGATATGTTTTGGTTTCATTTTCATTTCTCAAGATATTTTCTAGTTTCTCCTGAGATTTCTTCTTCAAGCCATTGGTTGAGTGTGTTAATTTCCACATATTTGTGTGTTTTCCAGTTTTTCTTCTGATTTTGATTTCTTATTTCATTATGATTGAAAAAAGATACTTTGTATGATTTCAATCTTTTTAAATGTATTAACACTTATTTTGTGACTCAACATATAGTCTTTCCTGAAGAATATCTCATGTGCACTTTTGAAAATGTAGATTCTGCTGTCGCTGGGTAGAGTGTTTTGTATATGTCTGCTGGATCCAATTAGTCTACAGTGTTATTGATCTTTTGTTTGGTTGTTCTATACCTTATCAAAAGTAGGATATTGAAATCTTTTCTACTATTATAGATCTATATATTTCTCCCTTCAATTCTTTCAGTCTTTGATTCGTATATTTAGGAGCTCTGATGTTTGTTGCATATATGTTTATAACTGTTGCATATTCTGAATGGACTGTTTTATGATTATACAGTATCTTTCTCTGTCTCTTGTAACTTTTTTTGTCTTGAAGTCTATTTTGTTTGACAGCAGTATGGCTAAACCTATTCTCGTTTGGTTGCTATTTACATGGAATATATTTTTTTGTATTCTTGTCTTTTCTACCCATGAGTGTCCTAAGTCTAAAGTGAGTCCTTACAGATAGCATATAACTAAATGTTGTTTTTTTTAATGCATTCTGCCAATGTATATCTTTTGATTGAGGAGCCTAATTTGTTTAGATTTAAAGTGATTACTAATAGAAAAGAACTTAGTTTTGCCATTTTATTACTTATTTTCTGCTTCTCTTATGCCTTCTTTTTTTTGTTCTTAGATTCCCCCCTCACTGATTTTCTTTGTGTTTAATTTTTCATAGTGACAAATTTTGATTCCCTTTTCATTTTCATTTGAAAATATTCTATAGATATTTCCTTTGTGGTTACCATGGTATTACATAGAACATCCTGAAGTTTTAACAATATATTTTAAACTAATACCAACTTAACTTGGTATAACATATAACATCCTAAGGTTATAGCAATCTAGTTTAAACCAATACCAACTAAACATCAATATTGAATTATTTTTTGTTTTCTAGTCCCTACTATATACCAGACACTATATTAAGTACTCCATACTTACTTCATTTTGTTGTTGTTGTTGTTTCGTTTTGTTTCATTTTTTTGAGACAGAGTCTTGCTCTGTCACCTGGGCTGGAGTGCAGTGGCACGATCTCAGCTCACTGCAACCTCCACCGCCCAGGTTCAAGGGATTCTTCTGCCTTAGCCTCTGAGTAGCTGGGATTACAGGTGCCCACCACGACACTTGGCTAATTTTTGCATTTTCAGTAGAAATATGGTTTTACCATGTTGGCCAAGCTGGTCTTGAACTCCTGACCTCCTGACCTCCTAGATTCACCGATCTCAGCCTCCCAAAGTTTTGGGATTACAGGTGTGAGTCACCATGCCTGCCCCATGCTTCATTTTAATCCTTTTAGTAAACTTATGAAATGCAAGTATTACTATTTGTATCCAATAATTAAGGAAACCAAAGCACAATGAGATTAATTAATTTAAAGTAACATAGCTAGGAAGTGACAAAGTCAGGGCTTATTCCAGGTCTGTCACATCCTCCCATGTTCCACCCAGTACTGTGAACAGCCTGAATTTGTATTTCCTCTGTAGTCACCAAATCAGGTGTGGCAGCCACATGCCTTTGTTAAAGCTTGTAGCTGACTAGTCCTTTTTTATCCAAAACATATAATTGGTGGTTTCTCTTTTTTATCTGACATTTAACATAGGTGTATATGCTAAAATGGAAGCACAAAAATGGTACCACAGAGTTGAGACTTGAAAGTATAAACAAATACAAAAAATTATCTGAAATTTAATGTGACTTACTTTTAGTATAAATTTTTCTTTAAATTGTTAAACGTGTTCCAGTAATGAAGCAGAATTTGGGACCATTTATTAAAGTAATATACATCAAAAAACATTGTAGGTTGGATTGTCTAATGAATACATTTTTTTCTTCTTTAATAGTCTACTTCCAGAAACATTAATTGGAAGTATGTGTTCCATTCACTTGTTGATATTTTATCGACAAATTCTTGGAGATGTGCTCCTGAAAGACAGGATGAGCTTGCAAAGTACTGGTAAGTGGGCTTCGCCATTTCCTTTTGTGCAGTAATGCTTCATGCTCTGAGTAAAGGTAACCTATATCAACTTGTTATCTTCTGTTTCTGATTGTGACTTTTGGAATAAAATATTTAGAACAGCATTGTTGTTTATACGTTACTTATGGGATATTTTCGGATGCAGAACTTTGTGAATTAAATACATATTCAGTTTTTTCAAACATAGTATTTTCACATTTCAAATTCTGGAGTTTTGAGATCCCAAAACTCAGATATAGTCATATTTTCCCTTAATGTCTCTGAGTAATCTGTTTTTTTCCCATATGTTTGGTGTGCACATCATCATTTTGAAAAGAAACCAAAATCAACCATCATAGCTGGTTCTTAGTGCATGAAGTGTCAATATTAAATAGATTAGTTAAAATAGGTGAATCCAGATATGGAGTATTACGGTGTCCTGTGTACTGTCTGCATTCTTGAAACTTCTTTGTAGGTTTGAAATTTTTACCAAGTAAAATGTTAATAAATAATTTTAAAAATCAATGAGTTGTCATATATGATTGAACTACAAAGAGAAATGCATATGTTATAATAATTGCCTCCAAAAAGAAAAACAGTTTAATTTTATTGGCTCTTCTTTCATTGAATAAATTAGTAAGTAGATGTGTACTGAGTACCTGCTATGTGTCAGATACTATGCTAGACCTACTCATGAATGAGACAGGCATAGGCATCCCAGGCCTCAAACACATAATTACATGAATAATCCTTTCCACTCTTTTGAAATAAGTACTATAAAGGAAAATACACAACAAGAGCATGCACTGGGAAGACTTGACTAAGGTGTAGGGCAAGGAAAGGCTTCGTGTGAGTAATGTTTAACAAAAGATGTGAGAGATGAATTAGACCTATGAGGGAAGTGTGGGGAAGGATTCTTTGTGGATGGAGTGACCAGCATGTCTGAAGATCCAAGGAAAGAAGACATGCATGTGTTGGAGAGCTTAAAATTGAGGCAGGCCAGTGTGGATGGAGCAGAGTGAGTGAGGCTTAGCATTTGTGGACAAATAATGTTCATAGGCAGGAGTCCTCTCTCAGGGACTTATCACCTGGATAGATAGGTAGAAGTGAAACTCAAAGGCAGAGGGGCACTGTAAGTTCTTAAGGAATCGTTATAACTCTTAAGGAGGAGAACAGGTAAGCCTTTTAATCACCATTGCCTTTGAATTCATTTTGATGACTCCCCAAAGACTTCATAAGTAATATGACCTCTTAAAGAGGATAAGGCTTGTTAGTTCTCCCAATAGGTAAGAAGTTTTCTCAGAATTGGTGACTTTGTTTGAATTTAATTATCAGAATGAAATATCCTAATAATATCTAAAGAATGAATTTTTCTGTACTGCGGACACCAGATTATAGAATCCCTTGCCCTTGCCATTTCAAAAGTTTCTGCTATAGTTTAAATGTGTCCCATTTAAAATTCATGTTACCAGTGTAATGGTATTGCAAGATGGGGCCTTTGAATGGTGATTAGGCCATGAGGTCTGTTTTCTTATGAACGGGATTAGAGACTCTTGTACAAGGGCTTGACAAGGAAATTTGTCTCCCTTACCCTTTTGCCTTCAGCCACATGAGGACACAGTGTTCCTCTGCGCCGGAGGATGTTGTAACAAGGCCCTCACTAGACACTAAATGCCAGTACCTTGATCTCAGATTTCCCAGCCTCCAGAACTTTGAGAAATAATTTTCTTTTGTTTATAAGTTACCCAGGCTCGGGTATTCCACGACAGCAGCACAAACAGACTAAGACACATCTTTCCTGGTGTGCTGCTTTGCACATGTTTTTCATGTGCCATTATCTATTGTGAAATGTCAATATCTCCTCCACCGTGTTTAGTTGTATGGCCAGAATCCTCAATTCCTAATTCTCCCCATTTCACCTACCACTCTCTGCTGGCTCCAGACACAAGTTTGGGTCCTTCCCTGAGCACTGGTGGACTGGAATCAGACCTGAGCAGTAGTCCCTCTGCCTCCTTTCCCCTGATGCTTCCTGGTTTCTGCTCAGTCTCCCAAGAGGAGGGCTGCCTCTAAGGAGAAGATTCCTTTTACCATGCCACAGTCATACAGAAGAAACAGAAGTTGAAGAAGAACAGAAAAACAAAATTTTGCCACCTTGCCCTCACTCTAAAAGCTCCATTAATTTGGTAAAAGAGCTCGCCAGGATATAGGTATAGGGGCAGATGAAGGTTGAGGGAACAGCTTTGAGCTCTCCTGGAAGTCAAAGCATGTAGACTATTTTATCAACAAATCATTTGGCACAGTAATTTTCATCTGAATATTTTTAGGTCAATTGCAATAAAATCCATCCAATAAAGTTTGCATAAAATTCTTTCTGTTATTTTGCATTTCAGATTTAATTAGTCATCCCATGCTGGCTACCTTCCCCATGCTCTTGGAGCAGCCTGATGTGATGGATGCCCTCAGGGTGGGTAGCATGCATTGCAAAGGAAACCTGCTGGCTTCTGGAAGCAGTTACACACTCTGTGTTAATGAGTTCTGTCACCTGGTCTAGGCTCTTTTTTTTTTTTTTTTTTTTTTTTTTTAACTAGGATGCTGTCTTCCAATCACTGTCCATTGTCTAGGTAAATCAGTCTTATCTTTCCCATTTTAACATGAATTCCCAAGAGCTGCCTTCCCTGACCCAGTGAGCACTTGGAGTGCCTGCTGTGTATGCTGTTGCAATCTTTGCCTGTTTTTTTTCCTTTACTTAAAATGGCCACTGATTGTGTCCTAAGAGCAAAAATCCAAAATGGTCTATAAGATAAATCAATTGAGTTTCCAGAGGAGAGTCCAGGGCATGCATACCATCTTTAATTTAATTTCATGTATGCTATCTGCTCTCTGAAATAACAACTGGTTATTAGGTTAAATCACATGAAATCTCCCAGTTTTTAGCTATTTTTGGCCTAAGGGGCAGTTTCATATGGTTTAGCCTAATACATCAAGGTTAATAAGTATTAGAAGAGCTCTCTGCATGCAAGGCAGATACACAGGTAACATGACAAGTGCCATGGGGGAGGTATAACCCAAGACCTTGAAGATTTAAAGAAGACAGCAAAGGAGGAACCAAATTGTGTTTCATTAGAGAGGTCTGGAATGAGAGAGCCTAATAAAGACCAGGGCCAAGAGGATTTTGACCTGCTGAGATGGGGGTGAAGACATTGCAGGTGGAAGGGTTAGCATGAGCAGACATTTGAGGCAGGAAGGAATAGAGCTGACAGTCTCGCTTGGCATGTCAGATGCAAGTAAGGGAGTGGTAGGTAGATGAGCAAAGTAAGTCTGAGTCTCGGTGTGGGGCTGAGGCCTGTGGTAGGTCATGGGTAACCCATGAAGGTTCCTTCTTTAGGCAAACTCTGCCAAGTGCGGAGAGGCAGAACATGTGCAAGAGGGAGGTGAGCATATCAGGGGATGACTCCTGTTGATAAAAAAAGAGGCCATATGGGCCTGACAGCAGAAACAGAAGGAGGACTCAGTAATCTACAAATATTCTTATTAGACTTTGAAACGAATTCATATGCTGGCTTGCCTGGGGTGGGCAGTGTCAACAGTAATAATGACATTTTCAACAGAGATGTTTAAGAAAATGTTACGCAGCCATCAAAAACGATGAGTTCGCGTCCTTTGTAGGGACATGGATGAACCTGGAAACCATCATTCTCAGCAAACTGACACAGGAGCAGAAAAGCAAACACCGCATGTTCTCACTCATAGGCAGGTGTTGAACAATGAGAACACATGGACACAGGGAGGGGAGCACTACACACTGGGGTCCGTTGCGGGGAAATGGGGGAGGGACGGGGGTGGGGAGGTGGGAAGAGATAGCATGGGGAGAAATGACAGATACAGGTGAGGGGAAGGAAGGCAGCAAACCACACTGCCATGTGTGTACCTATGCAACAATCTTGCATAGGATTCTTCACATGTACCCCAAAACCTAAAATGCAATAAAAAAATACATATATATATATATATATATATATATATATATATATAAAAGGAAAGAAAATGTTCATGGTACATATGATCTCCTGTAATTTTAGATAGGTTCATCTGGCACTATAGCTAGATAATGCAGAATTTCTCTTTCTTCTATAAAATCACTAGCGTAATAATCATTCATTATATAGACTATATTTACACTGATTAATTCAACCAAGATTTCACAAGAGCCAACTATGTATTAATATAAGTCTTCATGCTGGCCACAGAAATATTTCCCTAGGTGCGTAACAGTCAGAAATCTGGACCTTGTTCTTAGGAAGAACCTTAGAAATCCTAATCTAGTCTAAAATCTACATTTCCCTGATGAGCAGATAGCTCAGAGACGTGTAGTGACCTGGCCAGCCATGGAGCTCAGCAGTGAGTAGTGAGCTCCAGCCAGGGCTGTCCTTGCAGGTCAGCTTTGGGTGCACCCAGAATGTGCCACGGGCTGCTCAAGAAAAGGCATATGGGCAAAGTTGTGCACATAGGATATTTAGCGAAAAGACCCCATTTGAGGCATACTAAATATATTTAAATATATATATATATATATATATATATATATATATATATACACACACACATTTATGTTTCTGCCTGTGAGAAGATCTGGAAGAATATATTCCAGAGAGGTATCAGTGAATACCATTGGATCTTGGATTATTTTATCCACATTTTCTTAATTATTTCCACATTAAATTATTTGTATGACAATTTTTAAAAAGAAAGTGGTAGTTTCTGTACTCATGAGCCTTCTTCTCTCTGTGTCATAATACACTATTACTTAGGAGAAGCTCAGCTGTGCTGTGGTGTTCGGCACAGTTTTCTTTCTCACCCGTGGTATGTATCCAGCATGGATCAGTGGAAGATGCTGCTCCATAGTCACCCAAAAGTACAGACTGGTGGAGCCTCCACTGTCTCACAGCACCATCTGGAACAAATAGCTGCCTCTGTTCCCAGTTTCCCTGCAGAAGAGGGAGAATAGAGCATTGTTCTTAGACTTTCACTACCTTTGCTCCAAAGGGGCCTGGGCCACTTCTGCTCACATTGCATCGGCCCAAACCAGTCACATGGTCCATTAACTTCAAAGGGGGCATAGTCTTTTTTTTTGTTCCAGAAGAAGGGAAGTGGATCTTGGTGAAGTAATAGTGAACTTTAACACGTTTGCTATTCCCAGATGAGTTACTCTAAGTGAAACATCCTACTGTTTGCTGGTGACTCAGTGAAAAATAAGGTGGGACATTTACATGTAACTAACAAACAATAAGCAGATTTTGCCAGGTACTAGGTTTAAATTTGCTAAGTGATATTCACGTTAAGCTGTATTACTAGGTTGGTACAAAAGTAATTGCGGTTTTTGCTATAAAAGTAATAGCAAAAAATCACAGTTACTTTTGCACCAACTTAATAAATTTTAAAATGTACAGCATGTGAGCCTCCTAGTATTTACTTACCTAGCACAGTTCATGACATTTTAATAATAATAAGAATGGCACCCAGCCTGTTTAGTAAAACACTTTGGTTCTCTTAAGGGTCCACTTCAAACTTTCAAGGACCCACAGGCACAGCAGTTAATAGGGTGGAGGACTATAGTCCCCTCATGTGGTAATAGGTATGAACATTCCAAGATACTCTCATGAGTAGTATAGTCTGTTATCTCCTGGTAAGAAACATTCTATCAGTGCATCATTGTATGGAGAATCTCCTTCTTGGTGCCGTATGTTATATTCAACCCAGGGTCTCCCTGCTGAGAAAGGTCTGATGCTTTCAGGGTACCCATAATATCAGGTGCCAACAGGAGGATATCTGCTGACATCCACAGAACTCAGACCCTGGAACAGGCAGCTCTGAGACTGGTCATATTCCACCCACGCATTTAGTTCGCCAGGAACTGGCACTGTGAAAGTTTTAAATTCATACTTCTATGGGACTGATTGAATTCTGGGGTTTCTATTTATTTAAGGTAATTTCCGTGAAGCCTTGTGAATAGATTAGAAATATTTATTTACAAATTTGTACTTCAGTCTATCTCATTCTGACCATTGTCATCATTCATGACAAAATTGTAGAAAAGTTTGGTATTTTGCAATGTTTTCCATTTTCATTGCTGTCTTAACTTGGAAAGCTTAATACCATTTTATCATTCAGGTGCTCTGTTTGTATAGTTTGCATGGATGTGTTAGTGTTTCACTGATTCTATTCTTAAATTAGTTTTGATTTATAATTATCATGGGCTTCTAGGGCATCTTTCATAGATACATCTGCCTAGTCATTCTACCTGGTCATTTGCGATAGATGCCTCATTACAGATTCATTTCTTACTTGCATAGAATCTACAGCATTTTAAACCCTATCCATAAGTTTATTTACAGAGTAAAGTTGCAGAAGTGTTGCAAGGACTTGTTACTACTTGGACTAATACAACATTTCTGTTTGCTCTTTAGAGTTCATGGGCTGAAAAAGAAAGCATGTTAAAAAGATCAGAGAAGGTAATATGATTTTCCACACTGAACTTCATATTTGCAGTACCTGGTGTTTACTTGCCCATTCTAATGTTTCTTTTTTAGCAGAAGCACCCATAGTCATAATCCCTCTTAACCAAGGAAACTGTGTCATTATGGCTGCAAAAACACATTCCAAGAGGGTTATGCATGATTGTTAACTAATGTGAGAAGGAACACTTGTTCAAGACAGTCGTTTCAGATTACTGAGTTTTATTTAAAGAAAGGGGAAGTTTTTAAGCCAAAGTCTCTCAGTTGTATATTAAGTTTCTTTTATTTTTAAAAAACTTCTCTAGCTCTCAAAGCCCGTTATCAGGTAAATAGAAGGAAAAACAAAAAATTGGCCTGAGCTGTACCATATATTGAAAACAAAGTATTGCTTCTGCTTATGTTGCTATAAAATCATTGTAACTACCAATCCGAACTTGCTTTAATCAGTGAGTAGTGGTTTGGTTGCTTTCATCCAGGATTTGGCAAATGTTTCTGGGAAGGGCCAGATGGAAAACCGTTTTGGCTTTTCAGGTCTTACGGTCTCTGTGACAGTACTCAACTCTGGTGTTGTAACACAAAAGCAGCTACAGACAATATGTAAATATAACCAAATGGGACTGTTTTTCTATACAACTTCATTTATGAAAAGAGGTGGCAGGCCACATTTGGCCCACAGTCCATACTTCACCTATGCTGATCTAAAATATGCATTATCTACAGGGAAAGTGAAAGAACGAATGAGCTGAAACCCCTAAAAACTGGGAAGCAATTTATAGATTGTATCCTTATTTGAGCCTCCATTTGATCAGTACCATCTACATACATGTGACCTTTGCCAAAACTGTCAGGTTTAGTGCTATTCCAATATAGCAGTGGGCAAGGTGCTGGCCTCAGGCCTGTAGACATTGTCCTTGAGTGGACATGTATGGTGGGATGGGTGATAGCTCTGTGTAGACTCTGCTGCCTAGGGACAGTTCTGCCCTCAGCTTGTTGTGCTCTCTGAGATTCCCACCATGGCCTGTGGGCATCAGGGCTTGACATGGGTACAATTGATACTGCACCATTCTTATCTGGGAAGGGTCTGACATCCTCATTGTCAAAGGACCCACCCCTCAATCTCCATCCCAGGCTTTGCTGGAAATAAGCCAACAACTTCCCTGGATTCCATGCAGAACACCTGCTACACTTCTTTTAGATAACAGGACAATTACCTCTGATATGCTGTCTGTAAGTAGGCACAGCTGATGTGGCATCGTTTTAGTTATATTTACCTTGAACCACACTGGGGTCACCAGGATTAGACTGCAACACCTTGACAGAACGTGTGAGACATCCTCCATGGAGCTTAGGAGACACCCTGGTCTCATGGAGCCATGTAGAGGCTCTGTCAGGGAGTAGCACTCCACTCTGTGACTCTTACTTACTCCCACTTCTGAAGTGCTGTGTTCTGCCTGAACAGCTGGCTCAGAGTAAGTACCCGCCAGGCACTAATGGCACCCTCCATCCCACCTTTTAGGTGGCTTTTAGTTAATGGAGTTCATAGAACCTAACACTTTAAAAATAACGATATTATTTGTGGGGGTGGTGTTTTCCCAGAGAGACAAAGAGTTCCTGAAGTCCACGTTTCTCCTGGTTTACCATGACTGTGTGCTCCCACTTCTCCACTCCACACGCCTGCCCCCATTCAGGTGGGCAGAAGAAGAGACTGAGGCTGCACGATGGAAAATTATCACTGACTTCCTTAAGCAAAACCAAGAAAACCAGGGCGCCCTCCAAGCTCTGCTGTCACCAGATGGAGTTCATGAACCTTTTGACCTTTCAGAGCAGACCTATGACTTCTTGGGTGAAATGAGAAAGAACGCAGTGTGACTGGCAGCCTCTAGCCCTCAGCTTCCAACAGAATTGGATGTATCTTTCATGATTACCTGAATAAAATCACAGAACCAAAAATCACTGTCACTTTACAACTTAGGCTTTACTCTTTTCTTTGTACATACCCTATTTGTAAAGAAATGTTTATACAATAATTTAAATATTTTTGAAAACTATTAGGAGTACTGTCATTATAAATTTAAACAGCATTTTTTTTTTCAAAAAAACAGCTACTTAAGTTAATGGTATAGATTTCTGTAAAAGCAAGATTTTGTCAAAAGCTAAATTTATGATTATTAAAGAAAGTGAAAAAAACAATCCACAGAATGGGAAAAGATATTTGCAAATCATATAACTGATAAGGGTCTAGCATCCAAAATATTTAAATTTATGAGTGTTAATAAAAGTTATCTTGTTCAATGAAGAGGAAGTTAAAGTGATCTATTTGAGAAAGTTGTAATCACTTAATTCAGTCAGATACTTGAATGTGATTTACCTCTAATTAGGTACAAAAACAGAATTACTTTTGCCTTTTTAAATCGAGAAAATAAGTGCTCTGTCAAACCCTTAACAAAAACAAACTTTCAGGCCCTGGAGAGTGGAATTGATTCCTCCTTTCAAAGAAGAAGGATGAGGTACTCAGGTTCTATTGCATTTCAGGTAAACTTGTGACTGCTGGTAAAATGTCCCAAGTCTTTCCTTTTAGTGATAAATAGTAGCAGCCTGTGTTAATTGATTACCTACTGTGTGTCTGAGCATTTCTCATTAGCCTACTGTAGGAGATAGGTACTGGTGTTTTTTTTTTTTTTGTTTTTTTTTTTTTTTTTTATTACTGCTGAAGAAACAGGCCAGGTTGGTAAAGTAATTTGCCTAAGGTCACAGGTAACAAGTGGCACAGCTAACAAGTGGCACAGCTAACATTCCAAGTAAAGATACCGTATATAGTTTTTTACAACCTAAGATGTTCTGCCTCATCAACGCAAACCTTTAAGAATTCCTTGTGAAAATAAAGTATGAGAAAGACTTTAACCTAAATAATTAGAATCCCATTAGAGGTACTTGTTTTTTGATGGCATACTGCCTTAAAAGAGGCATTTATTTTTAGAGACCTGTCATGCTATGAAACTTCTGGGCTATGTGTTAGCTAACATATCCTAAACCCTTAACCTAAACTTAACTTGAGCCCCAGTCTTGGAAATTAACATGGTGTGAAAGCGTTCCCTGGCCAGGTGCAGTGGCTCAGACCTATATATAATCCCAGCACTTTGGAGGTCAAGGCATGTGGATCACCTGAGGTCAGGAGTTCGAGACCACCCTGGCCAACATGGTGAAACCCCATCACTACTAAAAATACAAAATTGCCTGGGCATGGTGGTATGTGCCTGTAATCCCAGCTACTTGGGAGGCTGAAGCAGGAAAATTGCTTGAACCCAAGAGATGGAGGTTGCAGTTAGCTGAGATCGCGCCACTGCACTCTAGCCTAGGCAACAAGGGCGAAACTCTGACTCAAAAAAAAAAAAAAAAAAAGGAAGAAAGGGTTCCCAGGCACAAATGTGACAAGTGAGAACTGGGCCTTAGAAAAAAGATTTCATTCTCCAGGAACTGGGTTTAGGAGCTCTCCCTGTGTGTGCCCTTCTGCCCTCAACCACACAATACAAGGCTAAGTGTGGCAGGCACCTTCCTTTTGCCCATCAGCTGCCTGGGCATGCTTACAAGGTGGTGCTCCCACTTCTCTAGCACCATGGCCCTCCCCAGCTCGTGCTCTCAGGGAGAGGGATTTGCCTTTCATACGGAGTTGGTAAGTGTGCACAGAGACTTTTTTCCTATTGTTACTGAGTTGCCTCATCTTACTCTTGGTCCCCTGCAGTCCTGTTTTTGAAAGAACATAAGCCCATATCACTCCTCACTATGAAAGTCATTTCTCTGTAGAATCTATAATTCCTAAGCTTCACCTTTTTATTTATTTTTTGAGGCCGGGTCTCACTCTGTCACCTAGGCTGAAGTGCAATGGTGCAATCACAACTCACTGCAGCCTTGACTTCCCTGGGCTCAGGTGGAGTAGCTGAGAGCACACACATATACCAGCATGCCTGGCTAATTTTTTTTTTTTTTTTTTTTTGTAGAAACTGTCTCACTGTGTTGCCCAGGCTGGTCTCGAACTCCTAGATTCAAGCAATTCTCCTGCCTCAGCCTCCCAAAGTACTAAGAATACAGAGCCACAATGCCTGGCCATCTCTTTATTTTTTATTTTTAACCACTTAGCTTATTTTTAGCATTAAGCCATGGGTGGGGCATTTTGAATGAAAGAAAATGTTAGTGAATTTCTTTCAGTGCATATACAATAGAAAAGAAAAGAAAGTTTTTTTCAGAATGTGTTTTCCAAGACTCTTACATGTTCATTTGAGAATGCGTCATGAGCTGACAAATGTGGACAACCTCATAGTGTCTGACACATTAGGAAAGTATAGGGACACCAGAGAAAAAGTTTCAGTGAAGCTTTGGCCAGAAAATGAGGTACATCTGGAAGGGAGAGACCCTGGGGTGTGGGCATTTCTGCCGTAAGAGACTCTATCTTCTCTTTCTTCAGTCAGTGGAATCTTTTTTTTTTTTTTTTTTTTTTTTTTGTTCTTTTCAAACAACAAAATCTCTGTGACTTTAAAGGCCACTTACTGGCTTCCAAAACAGGAAGAAGTTGTCAAGGAGCCAAAAACATCTTGGAAATGAGTCCTCCTAGGTCTGTGTCAAGGAGTGTGACTTTAGCAACTCACTGAATTAATCATAAGAGTCATGGTGGTGGGTGGGCAGGCAGCAGCAGGGTGACCAGCAGGCCTTCACTGAGTGACCACACATGCCGTGCCTACCTGCGAGACCAGGGGGACTCACCACATCTGAACCATGGAAAGGCGGGCAGGGTGGGGAGTCTGAACTCCTGTGGCCCACTCCTCCCCACCCCCTCAACCTCTTTTAATTGGTTGAGTTTCGTATCCATCAGGTCTGCAGAGGTGAAAAATGTTGCAACTCGCTTGCCTGGGTGCTTGGGATGAATGTCTAGGGGCAGAGGCAGATATTAAAGAGCAGGTATAGTCTCTGTCTTCAATGGTTTTATGATCTAATGTGCAAGGCCAGAGCAACTCACATAAAACCAGCTGAAATACATAATACCGTGTACAAATGGAGCAAGTTTGACTTGCCAACCCAGTAGCAGTTGGGAAAGTACCAGTTTAACATAGGAGGCCAGCAGTGTCCTCTTTCAGTGGAGGGTTTTGTCAGTTTGCAGCATTATAGGACATCCTTTGCTGTGAACTGCCTCAACTTCTTCTTGTATGAAGCATTCTAAGTTGGGAGGCTTTCTTGGGGTGTGGAGGTGATCAGAGACAGCTGCCACCTAGCTGCTGTGATTTGTTTCCTCAAAACAGAGAGGCAGAGAGAGAACCTTACTTAGGGCACTTTGCATCTAAGTGTTATGACTGTCCATTCCTCATTGACTCAGCAAGTGTTATTGAGCACCTACCATGCTCCAGGCATAGCACTGAGTAGCCCTGGCAAGATCTCTGTCCTTAGAATGCGTGAGGTGGACAGTAATCACACAACACAAAAATTCATTGCAACAATACTATGGCTTGG